TATAGATATAAAGCTTGAAGATGCCTCTATCATTGATAAAAAAATCAGCTTCTTTGCTCGAGCCATAAGGAAGATATTTAATTTTTTTTGGGTAACATGATTTTTGGGCCACCCTGTATTTATGATATACCTTTTTTTTTTTTTGTTTCTAAAAAAATATTTCTTTCTTTAAGTTATTGTATACAATCTATGCTGGTCTTGGAGCTGTGGCTTTTTCAATTGTAAGTTTTAATAATTAAGAAATCAAAAGAATTTATTTTCTATTGTTAGTTCTTGGCTGTTGATACACAATTAATTATGGGAGGAAAACGACACGAAATAAGTGCTGAAGATCATGTATTTGCATCACTTATGCTTTATATTGATATTGTTTATATATTTTTATATATTCTTACTTTGTTTGGCAATCGAAAATAAGATTGTCTATAAACAACGGTGTTAGAACATTTGTCATACCAATTATCTTTATTATCGTACATAATTTTCTTTCATTTCGTCGTTGTCTATATCATCTTTGTATTTTGTTCTCATTTTCTTTTTGTATTGAAAATTCAATTTTTGTCTCTATAAGATTTCATATATATGCGCTTCTTTATTTGTATATTTAATCATGTTTGTGAACAAAAATATATTTCTATTTGTGTGTCTTTGTCATATCCTTGTTAGTTAGAAAACAAAAATAAAGGAAAAAAAAAACCTTTAATTTAAGATCAGTTACAATGTGGCTCAATTGAATCAAAGTGTACACTTAAGAAACGCTTCAAGGCTTCGTTGAGAAATCATGTCATACAAAAAAGACCTATGAATTCAAAATTCTAGAATTCTTTGAGTGGTTTTTGAATATAACGAGTGTTCCAAAATTACAGGACATCCACATAAATTTATGTATGAGTCTTTGCATTCTTTTCAAGAAGTTATTGATGATATGCTAATATAGACAAAACTCTTTGATATCTTTTTTTTTTCTATTTGATATATTCTTCATTTCATTTTATGCAGCAGTTTTCTGTTATGGCATGTTAGATGACTTTTTTTTGCCATGGAAATATATAGAAATTCTATGTCAATTATAAACACATTAAATTCTAATCAATAGCTATAGCAATTTAAGCCTAGTGGTTTTGTTGACAATTTGCGAAAGTATAGTATAAAAATAACCAAAGACTTCCAGTTAAGAATTTTGTATAGACGATATTTCATGAATAGAGCAATATCGATTTCTGATTTCTTTTTTACATTAGTCAGATCTCAATGATACGTTCAAAATGATATAAGATAGTTCAGAATATCAAGTTGATTTGTCGAAAGATACTCAGCACATTCGTTGGATCAAACGGTATTTATATTTCGCGAGACTAATGTATTTTATCTTAATTAGCTCGGCAACCTTATCATTCCCTACTATCTTATACCATTTTGCGTATCTCATATAGGATATGAAAGAAACTTTCAAAGATAAAGCAACTTTTGATTTACACAACAGCATTAACACTTAGACTCTATTTATCATGTTAGTTCGACAGTCGATCCGATAAAATATTATGTACCATATGTATATCGCACATTATATTATTGCATAGGAAAAATATTTTTATCTCCATCTGCTATTCCTGAACATATGTCGGAATGAAAGAGAGAAACGGTGTATTGTTTTTTTATCTCTGACGGTAAGGCACACTGTCTTATGATCGAACTGTTGACTGCTTTTTTCTCTCTTATTCAATGTCGTATCATACACTTTTGTATTCCGTTTTCGTTTTGATTAGAAATTATCTTCGGTGAAAGTTTATTATTAGTGCTAAACTGTTTATTCAACAAATCGAAGATTCAAGTATCTAGCGAAGAAACGACGATTTTTAGAAGATATCTTCCGAGGTATTCTGTAAAGTTTTTTTTGTCAGAAGCCAATTAATTAGTATTCCAGAGCATATGTGATTTTCTGTAATACTTTTATAGGAACAAAAATCTAGAAACTCCTGAACATATAGCTTTTGTTGAAACAAAACCGTTGATAATAAAAATTGAAGATTCAGACTATCAGATGTAGAAAATTTTTCAATATTAGAATCAAATTTATAACTAAATTTCGATAAATATATATATCATCGATAATTTGTTAAGTCATGTTTCTGATATTATTGTTCTCCGAACTTGCATATTGTTTCGAAGAATTTAATTATCTGAAAACACATTTTATCTTTCAATTCGAAACCTCGATATAGACGCTTCGATTGTCTTTGTTCAAGTTGAAGTTGAAGGATTTTTTTAATTTCCACTACTTCAAGCTTGTATTTATTTTTAAATTAATGATCAATTAATATGAGTAATAATTTATGTAGTTTTTTAAATCAGTTTCTGTTAGTTATCCAAGATCTTTAATTTAACATTAGAATTCGCATTTTAATAATCGTTGTTGACATCTCTTCGAGACTTTCTCGATTTCAAAATTTTGATTCTTTTGTGATAATATTTTCTTTGATCGTGTATTATTGTCTTTTAGGATCTAGCGATGTGAGCCAATCGATTGTGTCGTACTACTACTGTTTCCGTAAAAATATGCTGAACATTTTCGAGTGTGGGTATGGCTCTGAATTTACGTATTACATACATTCATACCTAACACTCACACGCACATCTACACCGGTTCTTGTATTTTGAGATGAATAATAGTTACCATTAGGTTCGGGTCTAAACGAATTTTGGCTGGCCGAACGTGGATTCAGAGGATTTTACAGTGCGGGAGTCTAGGATTTTTTTGATGGGAAAGGAGGAGGGGGGGGGGGGTTCGATTTCATCGAGATAGTGGTGCTTCTGTGGAGATATGAAGTGATCACGATTGTAGAACGTGTTTTGAAGCTTATTAGAGGTAATATTAACTCATTTTTTAGCCTTTTAAGCGGGGAAAACCGAAAATTTATTGTTGGAATGGGGGCAATCACCCCAAACGCTCCTAAATTCACCACGGAAAATTTAAACAGTCGGATCAGTATTATGAAATTCTTGGCTCAGATAGGCTCTACACACTATCTTGAAGGAAAATTTTTACATCCCACTTCTCTAGCCAAAGTTTCAAAGGTTCGGACATCTCTGATAAACTCAGATAGATAATTGACAATGTTGAAGATATGGTGTTCTTTGAAACAGATCGACTAGTTTTCATCCATAATCATCAATATTTAAGATAGATAGATGTTGGATACTTGATGATGTTACTATTGGTGGTACAAATAATTCTTTAGCATGTATAGATAAGGGAGAATCATTAAAGTGATAACGTGTGGACTTCGGTATTTAGCTGTCCCACGGAAACCTGATTCTCAGATATCATGACAAATCAAGTAATATTCTTCTGTTCTGTGTAGCTATAGTGATTACATTTTTTTTTTTTTTCTAATGATATAGTTATTAACTAGAAAAAAAAGTTAATTAGTTTAATATTGCATAATTTTAAACAATTATACTCTATAAAAAAGGACACTATCCGTTGCTCTAATTGCCAATATATTTGAGCCCAATAAGACGGCATTCTGAGGTCCTGAATTGTTTTTGATTGTTCTTTTTAGTTTTCCATCTTCACTGATATGTAAAAGACGTGAAGCATTGTGATCAATTACAAGCCATTCATTGTATTTAAGTCAACAGACACGGTGCACACGTTCAACCGTAGGTGGTTCAATGGTAAACGCTTTACCAAAAGAAGGCGCAAAACTTAGTGGAGCGCTGTACTGTATGTCAAGAGGAAGCGACCAGAGTCGTTCACGTGTCACCGATGATCGAAGTTCTATTTTTACTGTTTTGTTAGATTTGTGTGATATTATTAAGGCAAGTTTTTCATTGTTGTAATCAATATTATGAATCATTTCAGCAGTATCACAACTTTTCTAACGTTCCCAACATTTGACGAAGCGAAATGAGGATAAAAGATTGAACTCAAAAATAGTAGAACCAAATCCATTTGTCGTTAAAAATAGAGTTAAATGGGAGCATGTACACGACAACCACAGTTTCTTTTCAATCGTTGAAATAGGTTCAATTGATGTCATATTTTCAGTAACCAAGAAAACTCCATTTTTGTCTGTTATGATTATAAAGCAATTTAATGTCGATGACCAACACATATCAAGAATACGGTCATATTCCCATTGAGATTGTTTAATAGTATTCAATTCTCTATCAATCATAAATAAATTTGGATATTGTTCTAATAGCAAAAGTTGGTTGTTGCTAGTCATTGCAGGCATACCATCATTTGAACATTTGATCTGTCCACATAGAGATGCAGCTACTAGATCAACTTCATTTGATGACCATTCTTCGATATAAACGAATTTCGTGTTAGTAATTATAGGACGAGTATCGACTATAATACCTTTTTCTTGAAATTGGTTTATATCTCGTTTGATATCATTGATATTTGCTCTTAGAAAAGAAATATCTTCATGTAGCGCTTCCTGTTCCTTAATAAGTTCGATTGCTTTCGATTTTGTTTTGTTCTTTATTGAGTCTTTCAATACAGTGTTGTTCCACTTCTTGACATTTTTCTTCATAAAATCGATCAATTATGATGTGACATTCATCACGCCATTTATCCAATTTCTGACGACCGCTACTAATAATATCTTTCATATTTATTGTCGAAATTTGATCATAAGCAGCATTAAGTTCATCAACAAGAGGATTAACTTGAGAATTCATTGAATCAACATGTTCATTGAAATGATCGGGACAAACATTCTTATTACAACAATAGCATAATCCTCGTGATTTACGCTGGCATGTTTCAATGGCACACAGTGTAGCCATTATACCATAAAAAGATTGATTCGGCTTTTGCTGACAATGACGAGTATAATGTGAAAATGAAGAATGAAAGAATTTTTTTCTCCACAAACATGAGTCGCTTGGAGAAAGGTGTATACCTGCCTAGTCTGAGACAATTTACATTGTTTCGCAGCAAAAATGAATTATTTTATTGAAAAAAAAAATGTTGTGGAATAGAAAGAAATTCTGAATCACTGCATGTTTCGACAATTGTGTATGTAATGTCTACGATGGTGGGTGTTGGTGTACGCGTAATATAGCGTGCATTTCTTTTCTTAAATCAGAGCCAGAACTACAACCACACACCTACACTCACACCCTGCTGGAACACTTCTCACTAACGACATATGTATGAAATCTTGACGCAATAGATAAATCCATATAGTATTTTTACATAATATATTTGAAAAAAATGAAATATAGACACAATTGTCTTATGCTCATGAAAGCAGTAACATAATCGTATTAGTCTGCCAAAAAGTATTTCTGTCAAAATCATAGCAAGTAGCACAAGAAAAATACTTTCAAACTAAAAAAATCTTTTTACATAGAGTTTTTCTTCACGGGATGCGTCTCACTGTATTGTAAAGTAAATTTAGAATTTTTTTTATATCTAAATTATCGCATTGGGCTCACATCTTCCAGACTAATGATCAATACAATAATTGAAGTTAAATCAATTAATCAAAGTGTGAGTCATCAGGAGTCTGAGAACGTATCAAATAGGGAGAAATATGTGTTCTATGGATTTAGTGTACCTTGCGAACAGTGTGTCAACCGTAAAACAGAACGTTACAAAAAAATAATAAACTGAGTAGTCTCATATTCGAACGTCAGTCGCTAATAGAAAAGAATATTGTACTATGTATTTTTCATGTTTACTAATTGTTCTGTCATTGCTGTCGAGCGCTATTTTAAAGATCAATGCCGCTGAAGAGTTCAATTATAACAATGACGGACAAGAAGTTTGGTCCGACAATTATCCTTCATGTAGTGGGCGGTCTCAATCACCAATTAACATTCAAACAGCATGTACCACTTATCAACAATTTCCTTTACTTCAGTTTTCAACAAGCTACAATGATAATCAGGTGTTCATGCTAAAAAATAATGGTCACAGCATTAGCGGTACTCTTCAGACAGGCTCTAATACAGTGCTTTCAATTAGTGGTGGTGGTCTCAACGGAACATTTCAATTCGCTAATTTTCACCTTCATTGGGGAGAAAATCGGAAATCAGCGAGTGAACACGAAGTGTAAGTATGAGCGTGCTACATTACTGATTTTATATTTTTAGTTGACGATATGCTCATTTAGAAATGGTGTGAAATATTCAGGTGAAATTCATCTTGTCCATCAAAATCCACTTACAAGCGAATATGCTGTACTTGGTATATTCATGGATAGTTCTTGGGACAAAGGTGGAGCAATAAATAATCTCAATTTGAATCAAGATGGAACTACCAGTTCATGGAAAAATTATTTTGATATTGCTCCGAAATTAACCGAAGAAAATCAATTCGAAAATGTCAATTTGAATTTGGCTACACTTATCCGAGGTAATAGAAACGATTATTGGCGATATCGTGGCTCATTAACAACGCCACCATGTACTGAAGGTATCATCTGGACAGTATTCAAAGAACCAATCTATTTCACTGAAACAGAAATCAAAAACTTACGTCTACAAGTGCTTGCAAAAAACGCACGTGAGCCACAACCATCATACAATCGAACAGTATATCGAAGTTTTTTAAATGAAACATTATCATCAGTACCAGATGAAAACTTTTGTGTCACGAAAACGGTATATGTCAAATCATCATCATCGACAAAGATATATTCATCAGTTTCAATTATTGTTCTTTTTAACTTTTTTTGCTTTTATTTTGTAAAATCCAGTAGATCTTTGCATTTTCTTTGATTTTCAAAGTAAATTCAAAATAAAATTGATTATAGTATTAAAATTCTATAGAAATCCTTAATCAATTCCGGCAATATGTCCATTTAGAACGATGTACCCGAATAGTACATTGTTTTCTCTCCTTTTTCATCAATACATAATCTTTTCAAACACGACTGAACTAATTTGAGATGATTCAGCAAGATAACTTTTTTGTTTACTACGACAAGGTCTAGTGTATTTTCGATAATTAAAATTTAGTCTCCATATACATTTCTTTTCTCTTTTCACTACTCTTTGCTTGACTCTCACCTTATTCATGCATGAGCGATCGATGTGCACACGAATAACCGTAAATTACTTATTTGCTATCATCCGTTCTGTGCACCATTTTCTCATTAAATTACTGACATTTTTGTCTCTAAATCAGCAAAACAAAAATTAATTAGACGATCGAAATGAGTTACCCTTACTTTTGCAGATATAAAATACATTTTTCACTGACACAGTTTAAACTGATTACATCAACAGATAACTAATATGTCTCTGACAAATGAAGAAAGTATTGAACAGCAACAAGTTATTGATGGATTACCAAACGAGCCAATAACAGGGTTTGTTATTTATCAAACGAACATTTAGAATATTAAATACAAATATTCAATCTCTTTATTATCAGGAGAGTGCAATTCTTGTTATGGCTACCTTTAGTCAGCGGATGCTGTATTCTGATTCTTCTATCACTAATCGCTGGTATGATTATTCTTTCACTCATACCGACGTATCTACCGCAAAGAGGCACCGATAGAATCAATCAGAGTAATTTGTTTTTTTCTTTTTGTTAATATTGTTTTTAAAACAGTATCATATATCAGAGACATTAGTCTATGGTGGCATTTTTGGAAGCAGTTTGAGCAACACTCAATCACTTACAGTCACCGATTTAGCAGGATTAAGCACTAATGTATATTGTGTGTATTGTGTATCGATTCAATTCTATATTTTCTTCCGTAGTTGAACGCTGCATTTGGCACTACGAGTTTCACCGTCAATGAGGCTCGATTTATTCAATCATCGGCTCTTCGCAAAAGACGACGTCGACAAGCGGTGTGAGTGATATAGACGACAAGCAAAGTAAATAATACTGCGTTCTTTTCTTTGTTCGTAGATCGTGTGAACGAAATCTAGGTACAACAGGTGATTACATCTATTTGCGTCTTTCAGTCACATGTTCTCGGGGATGTTACACACGATCATGTTTGAAACAATGTTCGCAAAAGGCACAAAACAGTATTCGCAGATCTTTCACTTCATTTAACATTCCAATTACATTAACGATTGGATTGACATTCAAGCTTTCATTGTCATTTTGCTCATTCATCTGAAGTAACACGGTTATTAAGATTTCAAAGAAAGAACTGATTGATCGCTGCTTTTAGTGACTGCATTTTGTTTTTTTCAATAAATTCATAGACGTTTTATTAAGAATCTTCTTATTCAATAAAATGACGATCAACATCAAACTGAATGTTATTAAAGACATAACTAAATGTCAAATTTCGAAACAGTGTTTGTGATGCCGATTACAGAAGAAACTACGAAAAAGAAAATCTATGATTAAACTAATGTAATGAATCTTTAAAGGGTGTGGGTGTGTGGCGTTGGCACCTTCATTCACACCTGCACACATATCCTGTTCTCAGAACATTTCAATGTAGTGATCATCAACCGATAACCGATTGGAAAGTTTTTTTTATTGAAGCTATTTTTTCGACTCTTGATATATTGTTATAATAAAAAGAAGACATTTCTTTCTTCTACTTAATATAAAAAAAGAAATCTATGACGATTGATATATTGTTCAATAGAAGTTTAATATTGATTATTGAAAAAAGAATTGTGAAGCAATAGTTGTATAATGAACCCATCGAAGATAAAAGCTGCTACCCACAACAGAAGATTAATATTTATGTGTACTATGTGTTTGATTAGCGAACCGTTTATATACTTTATCGGTATCTTTCACTTTATTCGAAAATATTTTTTTGGTTTAACTTTTCAATATTCAAATTCTGTGCCAAAAAAAACTAATAAAAAGATCTTGAAAATAACTGCATAACACAATTGAAATTAGACTTCGAAGTAATGTATCGATTGTCTTCTTTGAATAAACTATATTATAGACAACTAAGTGACACCTATTTGAATGTCCAAATCAAAGGGAATCGGTCAATTCGATCCTTCATTTTCATCTAGTCATTGTTCAACATTTAATTTATCACAATACGGAAAATCTTTTAAATAAATTCGTCAAAGTTCATCTGAATCATCATCATCAGAATCACATAGTGATGATGATTATAAACAACAAGAAAAAATAAATGATAAAGAACAAAGTAATATACAATCAAAACAACCGTCAAATTCTCTTCCAATTTAATCAACACCTACAGAACCATTATATACTGTTGGATCATATATGTCACCAGCGAAACTTCATCTTTTACAAGTATGATTTGCTTAAATTATTCAAATATATTTTTTTATTTTAGTTTAGACGACATCAACAAACAAATCAACAGTTGAATATCAACATTTAGCCTTAACGGCTTTGAAAAAACTATTAATGGTCTTTGTAACAAAGTTAATAGATCAAATTTACCGATAATTATGCGTAAAATATTTCAAGATAATATTGTTCATGGTTTACTTGAATGTGGATATTGTCGTTTTCTAACCCACACTCACACTCTTTTCTTGATTTTTGCTTGTTTTAATCAATGTGATTGAACCATTTCATTATTGAATTTAACGGATAGTGTTGTTGTTCACGTTCTTGAAAATACTTTGGATAAAAGTATTTTTTCACATTCCATACAGCAGTACGGAACAGATATTTGATTCGCTGACTGTTGCTATTTCATTTAGAATATAATTATTCAAATTATGTAATTTATTATAAGAATATTTCGAATAATTTCGATCTAACATGAAATGTATAAGAATATTTATAAAAAAAAAATTCTTTAAAGAACTTAATCAATATATTTCCTTTATGATTCCAATCAAATTTTCGTTTGAACTATCTCAAATATAATTTTATATATGTTTAATAAAAAGATAAGAACAAGATGTTATTATTCCTACATGAACTTCTATATTTATGGCTAAATGATGGTCATATGAAGTGAACCAAAGTTGGCGCTACCCAAACTGGAGTCCTAAATCCATATTTTATCATTCTTATCGTATAACACAGAAAGTCCTCGATGCACACCGATAACGTATATATTTGTTAAACAAGTCTTTATTAATTAATTAGTACTCATCTTAATTACTACTAATTATGCGAGTACTTTACTAATTAGCGTTAATTATTCCAGTACTAATTACAGTAAGCACTCTCCTATATTCCAGAGGTACCTTTAGGTCCTCAAGTTCTATATAATGAAGGCATCCTTAGGTTCTCAAGTCCTATATTCCAGAGATACCTTTTAGTCCTCAGGCCCTATATAATGAAGCCATCTGTAGATCCTCGAGTCCTGCATTATAGAGGTACGCTTGGATCGCCAAGTGCTATATTTCAGAGGTTCTCTTACGACATCAAGTCCTGTATTCTAAAGGTACCTTTAGGTCCTCAAGCCCTGTATTCCAGAGGTACCTTTAGGTCCTCAAGTACTATATAATGGAGGCATCCTTCGATCCTCAAGTCCTATATTCTAGAGGCACGTTTGGAACCTCAAGTCCTATATTTCAGAGGTACCCTTATGACCTCAAGTTCTATATGCCAGAGGTTCCTTTGGATCCTTAAGTCGTATATTCTAGATGCACGCTTAGGTTTTCAATTCCTATGTTCTAGAGATACCCTTGGCTCCTCATCTCCAATATTCTAGAAGTACTCTTAGGTCTTCCAACCGATACGAGGAAAGTATCCTTGAGTCCTCATTCTTAGATTTCAGTGGTACACGTATCTCTTCATCCCCAACTTAGTGGAATTGTTCTTACGACCTTGGTATGGGTCATATGAAGTGAGCCAACGTTCGCATGAACCAAACAGAAGTCCATAATCCATGTTTTACCAAATCTCAATAGGATGAAAAGTTTGTCTGGGTGTGGGTGTGGGTTTATAGAAGAGTTACAGCAAAGTCAACACCCACACTCGCACCTATACTCATACCAACACCCACACCCACCCACACCCCACATCGACACATCAATACTCACACCCACGGCCACGCCCTAAAATTAAAGAGCCTGCATTTATAAGTAAAATGCTGAAAGAAAATCAATATATTCGTATTAATAATATTAGTAAAGCAAATGAAAGTTATGAAGTTTAAGTCAGTTAACCACTAACACATAATGTCAGCTGGCCAGAAAAATAATTTTGTGCATTCAAGCAATTAGCACCATTAAGAATGGGACCCTGTGAAAATGGTCCAGCTGAATTACAATTCGAGTTCATTCCGTAACATTCATAAGTATCTGCTGTCCAAATGCAGCAGTTAGACGATGTTGCATTTCGATAATTTTTACCAGCAAACTGACTAGCAATACAAGTCAAAGCTGCGTTCGTTCCTAAGGCATAACCACTTTCACAAACACCACCTGATCCATCGAGATAATAACAACGGTTGTTCCATAATACCTCATAACTTTGACAGTTGATAACAGACGTAGTTATATTCACACATGCTAAATATAAGAAGATGCACTTTGTTCTTCGGAATGTATCTTACACTCTAAAAAAAATGCTTTTCTACTGAACCCCCCAAAAAAGGTTCCGCAGTTTAGAAATAGCGTCCAAAGGGTTGGAAATGCTTAAAAAGCGATTATTCAGTTCTGCGAAACCTTTAAAGGTTCTTCCCATTAATACACGGGCCGAACCTTCTCCTACGAAACCTTTTTTAAGTTCCGTAGTGCAAAAAAAGCTTCCATAAGAAA